CCCCAAAACCCCAAAACCCCAAAACCCCAAAACCCCAAAACCCCTCTTAAATTTGCAGGACTGAAATTAACTCTCTATTGAACTACTCCCAATAGAGTTTCTACATAAACTCTTATCAGCGATGGATTTAAACCGCACAAACTTCGAAGTGGAGTGCATCTTCCGCTTAAAGTTGACCTTGCTGGGAATATTGATATCTTTGTTTTTCTTTGAAAACACTCTATAGGAGTCCTTCTCCTCTTCATCTTCTTCAGAAATGCTACTTCTAAGCGAAGCTAGCTTGGACACAGCCGTTCGCAGTTTTACAACAGGTTTGTCCTCTTTAGGCTTGACCTCGATCCATTGATCAACCATGACTTTCTCTGAAGGCGGTAGATCGGTTTGGATTCACTTTCCTTCTACTGATTTCATGGGTGGTTTGGTCCCTTTAAATGGCGCCAACAGGTATAAGTCTGTTTGTGTGTCATCTATTTGCCAGTTAGCATAGAAGGATATAGCAGATCAGAGTTTCCACTTATGACTATGAGATTCAAAAATATTCCTAGAGAATGAGAATAAATTTCTTGATGCTGGTGAGGGTTTACCCCTCCTTTATTTTATCCAGAACCATTTTGGCAATATGAGGGAGATATTAAGATATAAGAGGGTATCTTAGGGGTCAATTCTTACTCTCAATAGTATTTTTAACTACAATTTTGTCGACTTCTTGCTTCAATTTTTCCATGGATTGCTTCTGTTGTTTATCTAAAGATCACTACAAGGCGTACTCAGAGGCATTGGGAGATGTAAACCCTCTGCTATTTTGACTAGATTTGTGAAAACTTCTTTCTCGAATTCAGACATTTCAAGATCATCTTGATCGTAATGCCTAAGAGGTTAGGGAATCTAGCCCACCTGTTGAGAGTTATCATATCATTCGCTATTTGAATTCGACTCATGAAGCCATTATTTTCCAATAATTTAGGGTAAGTAGGAAGAATCAGGGTAATTTCATCAATGGTGCTATTTTAATTCAAGGATTTCTTCTTCAAATCTGGTAGTTTCTTTCTGATGCATTACAAATGGAGCTTCCTACAAAGTCAATTCCAGTTTTACTGTTTGTTCATGCTCTCATTTTCTTTGAGGATGTTGTGTAGGCAAGAGACTTCTGAGATAAGTTCGTTCTTGACCTTGGTTTCCTGAGCTAGAGCTTCCTGGAGCTTAGAAATGTTCCTTTCAAATTCTATAAATTACTTCAATAAGCTTTCCTTTTATATGATTTTGTAGAATTTTGCGTTCCTGCTCGACTTGGTGAGAGTATCCTTTAAACAAGAAGTTAAAATCATTAGCCCTGTCTTTGCATTCGAGATTAATCTTTTTATGAACTTCCTCGAGGCTTGACTTATAGATCCCTGAGACTTCCTTGGAAGCCTCCAAGTACTTATGGATACTTCTTTCAGCTGAAAAGTTGTTACTAAAATATTAGGAGAAAACATACAGCTCAGGTTTGGTAATTTTGAGCAGCTCTTTTGTAGTAGAGACCTATTATGATAAAGTCAGGGTTTGGGTCTTACAATTTGTCTGAAATCGTCTCTTCTGGTTAGCTTATTATCAATCAAGGAGTTATAATCTAGAGTGTCAGAGAAACGTTACTGTAGAGGTCATGGATCTGTAAGTTATCATTTCAAAGCCGCTTTTTGATCATCCTCTTTATCATGATTTTAGATTTTTCAAAGCCTTTCGTACCAGTTTTACTTCGAATTGAGGATTTTTACAACTTTGTTCATGCTTTCTGAGTTCTAGAGGCTCGGAAGAATGTTAAAATATATCAAAAAGTTTTAAACAAGAGAGATAGGGGTCTTCATACCTTTATGACACTAATGGACTTGGTACTATTTTTATGGAGCTTTTTCTCAAATGCCTTTCTTTGCCTCTTAATAGTTCTTTCGAGGGAATGCAAACTGTTTGAGTGCCGATGTAGGCTATTTTTGAGCTATTTTATCAGATTTGAAGTCATGAAATTGCTTACTGGAGATTTTATCATTGTGAGAGAGGATTTTGGGTCCCTTTTAGGCGGTTTTGGAACCACTATGCTTAGAGAGTCTGGTTATGAGGCTTGGGCTGTATGATTAAATTGAGCATTTTTAAAAATGTCGATATTAACTGTGAATTACCTGAAGCTAATATAAATAATCAATTAAAAACAAAGGATATAACATTAAAAACCTTACTATTCCTGGAGAGTTTCATTCCTTAAGGTGTCATTCTCTGTTGTCACTCATGCTCTTAGCATTAAGGGATTCACTTATGACATTGCGATAATTTCTCTATACCTCTCATTGATCGATTACCTTCTTGAGGGCAACTTTAACTGTTTTATTCATCTTTTGCTTTCAATTTATAAATATAAATAAGGGGTTTTGGGGTTTTGGGGTTTTGGGGTTTTGGGG